TCTCTTTCAACACGACGATAGTAGCTACATTATACACATACATATATACGAAAAGAGAAAAAAGTTCAATTAGAGTTATTGATTTTAAAATACACGTTACATACAAATAGAAAAAAAAATTCTGTTTACGGCGAGTTACTTTTTTTTATGGATCCCAGTAAAATTGCAAGTATCCGTAGAATTGGCGTCACGAAATAAAGGGTTACAAGCCATATATACGTACGCTCTTTCACGCTCTTAAAGGATTCCGTGCGAAGTCGGAATAGCCACGCGATTCGCGATCGGTGAATACCGCCACACCCTTCCGTGCCGCTTCCGCCCTTCGTTCAGAGATGTTTGCAACAAATTGGAACCTCCCTTGCCCTTCCTTCCAGTAATTGGCAAGCGATGCGCTGGGCGGCTTTTTCTCGGTCCGGCCCCGATCCGTAATTGCGACTGAATGACGAACAAACATGCCGTGTACACGCATAGATGGAAGTCAACCATCCTAACGTTAAAACGATCGGCAACATTCTAAACGTATTACTTCTTTTCTGTAAAGTTTCAAATAATTGAAGAGCTTGTTTCCGAAACCAGTTTTGTTCATCTGTACAATTCGTCGTTTTCACATAAAAACTTGTCACTCTGCTCATAGCATAGCTCTGATTTATCTTTCGTATTTTTTCAAATTGTATATTTTTATAAACAATACAATAACGCGAATTGTTTATTCCATTGCATATAAAATAATAATTAATGTATTGAAATGTCTATAAAATAATTTTGAAACTATTGACAATCGAATGCACGTCTGTGTTCATACATATCATACATTTTTATAAAGTTTTACATCTCTTTACTTAACAAAAAAAAAATGGTTATAATAAAACAGCTCACGCGCAATGTCTTTAGGTTAATGTGACATTCGATGTAGAAGACTATAGTCACAAAACATATAATTATTTAAATATATTCTAACATGTGTATAATTCATGCTTGATTTTTTAACACCAACGCACTTATTATCATACTTGAACATTTACATGTACATTCTACATGTTCCGTAACTGTCTGAGACATGTTGCGAGACGTGCACAAAGAAATTATACTGAGAGAGAACAGTAACTGCGTTGAAAAAAATACTAGCCGGAAGTTGGTATTTGCTGTTGCGCCCTGTCATCTTGCAGCTCGTAAAAGCTGCTCCTTCCTCACCTCTTTCTTCTCTATTCGGCTGTTTCTTTGCTCCCAGATCACCGACCGATGACAGATGGAGTGAAGGCGATCGAGCGCAATCCACTCGACCGGATATAATTGCTCGACTACTGATTGACTTTTGCCGAGTGTCCTTTTGTGCAAACTCTATACCGCCTGCTTATATCCCCTCGTATCGTCGCGACCGAGTTCTCGACGAAAACTTCTCTTATACCCTAGCCTAGTGTAACAGCCATTAATTCGAAGAATCGTTCAAGCGAACATACAAATAATGCCGCGCTTTATTTTATTACAAAGTAGCATGCATACTAATGGAATAGACGGTAGACGTTTCAACGATAGACAGCGACAATTCATACATTAAAATCCGCGTTAAAGATTGACATGTAAGCAAGATTTGGATTTTTATCCGACAGGTGATAAAAATTTACGTATCTATTTTAATAATGTGAAGCTATAACGAATGCCATACACTCGCAAGCGTTAATAATTTATATCAATGTTATAGTATGTACTAAAAACTTTCACGTTTCTAATTTGTGTTTTCCCAGCAATTTAACGCCGGCAGTTCATTCAGATTGATCGACATACGATATTGCCCCGCAGCTAGCAATCGCAATGACAAAAACTTGATAGGCTCCAAGTAAAAAGATCACGCACGTGATCGTGTGTGTTGTGCCGTCGTGTATTATTAGCAGGTAGCTTGTTAGGCGGTTGGTTTGTGGATAATGGTAGGTATTACAACACGCGACCGTTATTAACCCCTCTATACATCTCTTTCAGCCGCGCACCGTAGTCATAAGTCCATCTTTATCTCGCCTTCTCGTTTATTCGCTCTCTAAAGGAACACCCTGATACTGGCACAGACAAAACATAAATCATTATTCATAATAAGCTCTCGCGACAAAAAACCTGTACCGACAGATCTTAGCTACGCTAAATAATCGCGGTCGTAGTTCTCGCTCCACCGGACGTCTCTCCCCCTTCGATTCTTTGGAAGGTCTCGAGATGATCATTCCGCAATTAAAGGATGCCGCTGCCGGGATTCGGATGATTTCTCTTCAACCCATCTTCGTAAAAAGCACGCCCACTTTAGAAATATTTAGGAAAAAAAAGCAGTATTGAATACATCTGGGAGAACATTTGACAGTTTTCACGACCTGGACACCTATCATGGAACAAAGAGTCGAAATGGATTTCAATATTGAATCATTCCCTAGATTTATATTGTGTTTTCTAGGGAAAACGGAATAATTCCGATCGGAATTCATATCGACTTGTTTCATGATAGGGACCTTGATATTTCATTTATTTACTTATCGTTAGTACTCGCAACTTCGTCAAATAATCTATTCAGAAAAAATTACAGTTAGAAATTTTAATAATTTTTATATTTATCAGTTCTTATTTTTTTATCTTAAATAAACAATCATATTAGCTTGCTTAATGATAATTCTCAATGAGATAATTTCATTAAAAATTAGAATCATAGATTGTTGATTTATCATCAAATAACACTAAACTCAGTCTTTATCGAATTTGATGAAAATATGATATGCAATCACTTGACTTCTTATAATAATTTGTCGATTTGATAAAGATACTTTCTTCATCGTCGATATGTCTCCAAGTATTTTCTTATGGCATTCTTGTTTTTTTGGGAGACTGTAGAGTCCGCGGTAGAAAAGATTTCGCCCGTCCAATAGGCGGTTAAGCATGGTGAAGAACACGTCTTCATTTTAGCGATCAGGAGGTGCCGGTGACATTCCAGGGATCTGCAACGAGAACTGAGCGGAAAGGACGCGACCCCGTCCCCGGTTGCAATGGCACGAGGGGATCGACGTCCTCCTGGAGGGCGTCGCCGTCCTCGCCATCCTCGTCGTCCACGTCGTGTGGGTCCGAGCGTTCCGGACATAGCACCGCGTCCCCGCGATCATCGGGGTTTTGCTGCTGCACGACCCGAGTTTTTCGTGCGACTCTTCTCTGGCGGTAACTCGAGGCCAGGCAAGTCAGGAGTGCATTACACGCAATTAGACGCCAGGGTGGCCCCAAGGTATGTCCGACAAACGGCCCTCCTCCTCACCTCCCTCTACTACATTGCGTCGTACCGTTTTCCTTCTCGTTTCTCTCTTCGTTGCTTCTACGCGGTTCACCTCGCGCTTGTTTCCCCTCGATGACCCTTATTGGACCATCTTTCCTCTCTGTATTATGATACCTCGAAGATACATCTTGAGAGATCAATTCTATGCACAGATTCTTGTTTTTTCGAACTGAATATCGCCGATAGGTATAACCTTTGTAATGTAGTTCTCTAAAATTATTATTATTTTAAGCCAGCAACATAAGCAATATGTCAGTTATTTATTATATTTCTTTTGATGTACTTGCAGCAAGATTACATCAAGATTGAAGTGCAATCATAAGTATCGAGACTGAAAAATGTCAGTTGAAACAAACAGCGGAAAACTATATTAATTAATATTGAATAAATTAATATAGAAAGAAACAAGCAGTGCAAACATTTAATAATTTTATGGTATATATTGCTGTTAATTTAACATCACGGAATAATCTATTTTCTATACATATATTTTTACATCATTTACATAACGCACGAGATCTCATAATAGAAAGTATACATTTAAATAACATATTTCGAAAAGTATTTTAAAAACGAAATTATTTATATATTTTTATATTAAATTATAAACTATATTACACTGGTAACATTCGTTATTAAATAGCACACAAACATTCAATAGCTCTAATGCGATAGTTCTAACGAATAAGAGTGTAGTATGTGTGTCGGTCATTTCTGTGTCTGCAAAAATGAGTGTCTAATTAAATTTATCTGTGTGCGAACACGTGTTTCGCGCTCTTACAAATAGTCAATGGAGGCTACGACTATCGTCGAACAGCATGGCGCATCGTGCTGTCGTAAGAGTGAAATACGGATTAGTATTAAGGAGAAGAAGAAGAAGAAAAGAGAATGAATGAGGAGGGTAGCAAAGGGAAAGACTCACATACATAAGAAGCAGTGGCATCGTTTAACACGAGATGCGCGCTTTAAGTGTAATTACCATTGGCGTAATTAATTTAGTTAAAGAGCCGGCATTAATTTACTGCGTGTATTTGCTCTTTCTTTCTTTCGTGTGTTCTTCTTTTCTTTGTCTGCGTTTGAAATGTAGTTACGCACATCAAGTTTTCTTCTTCCAAAACACGCGTCTCTATACTTTTTACACTTATATTCCGTTTCAGTAATTTTCCGACCTTTAATTATGTTCAAATAAAGCAGGATAATTTTTGAAGAAATAGAATTAGATTTAGAATATAATCTTCAAAAATTTGTACATTGTTTTGCAATTAACATATTCTTATTAAAAGAGTATGGTAATATTATAATTTATAATTGTAGAATATAACATAATTATTTGGAATAATGCATAAAAAATACAAATTACATTATTGTCGCGACTGATAATTTACTTTACAATTTGATTTCTACAATTGGTTTGACAGGTAATCAGAATCAAGATAATTGAATGAATTGACAAATAGATTATTGAAAATTTATCTTCTATTAACATTTTTTATCTATCTCTACGTGAAAATAGTTTAAAAATTAGACATAAATTTACCTTCACGTTAGTTTAAGCGACTGCACATGAAAAATGCGCATAAAAAAAGCCTTTGCTGGAGTATCTAAAAATTTAGTTAGATATATATATATATATATAGATTTGTGAAATTAATTTTGTTAGATCACCAAAATAATTATGTAAAGCATTCAAACTTACTAGAATATCAAAACTTTTTGCAGCATTGTTCATCATGTTCGAGATTCTTATATAATTATTTTGATGATCCATTAAAATTATTTTTAGGTCTGTGTTTAACTAAATTTTTGGATACTTCAAATTGTTCTTTCTCTTTCTCTCTCTTTCTCTCTCTCTCTCTCTCTCTCTCTCTCTCTCTCTCTCTTCGTGTATTATTTTTTTCACTGATATGACAATTAATATCAAAATTTATATTAACTGTTTTAGGTCCGCATTCATAGTCATAGATCGATTCGCGATTGATTCTCATTTCTTCAGACAAAGTATTTGTTTAAATCATGTTGCTTGAATTAATTTTTCGGATTTATTTATCATGGTTTGACAAGCTTTTTTGAAATAAAAGATTGATTTGAATCTAGCTTAAATCGGATATTCAGATTGAATCACTATGAATACATGCCTATTAGTCAATTGATAAATCAAATCAGTTATTCAGATATTTAGATGGATATTAGTTCTTGTTTACCAAAAGCATCACTTCTCCTAATGTAATGAATTAGATTTATTGTTGGGAAAAAGGAAAGAAAGAGTTCTTATACCTGCGTTTTCCAGTTAATTGTTCTATAAGTATTCATGAAAAACACATTCTCTGAATGATTTATTTTACCTATTTCAAAAAGAGAATAATAGTTTTGATATTTTCGAAGGATCCCTGAAAAAAATTTTTTTTTATTGTTAAGTTAAATTCTCTAAAATGTCATTTCGAATGAAAAATACAAGTTTTCATTCAAAAGTGTTTGGAATAGGAGTATTTTATTATATTACTCCTATAAGTTCCGTTTTTTCATTGCAATTACATATTTTATCTTGTTATCTTTTAACATTAAATTTTCGTTATTATTCTGCTTTTATTTCACGCTCTTATTTATCAAATTTTATTTTTATAGTCTACCAAGCATATATTCTGTTTTTTAGAAAATTGTGCTTTTGTTCTGTGTTTTATCTATTTTATATTCTATTTACTTTGTGTTGTTTTCCGTTCTGTTTTTTTTTACTTTCTGATTATGTTTTTATAGATCATAATAGACAATTTTGCAAACAGTTTTTGCGCGTATATCTCTTTCTTTCATGCTTTTTTTGTAATTATTTGTCTTGTTAATAAAAAAAATCAATCTTGTAATAAAAATGCTTATAAAAAAACGTTCACGATTCTTATTTTTAGATATTAATAGATTTTGTAAGCGCTTATTTTTTCTTTTTTCTTTATACTAAAAAAAGATTATTTTTATCGTTTAAAAAAAAAGTGTATATAAATATTATTTGACCCAGTTTATTACATACATTTTTTTAAATATAGCTATAACGATGTTTATTTCAGATAATCGGCAAAAGATATAATAAAGAACTAATCAACACTACATTTAAGGGGCGCGATCAGAGTCCATTGGCACTGGTTGGTGGTCCAATTAGTGTAGCATCCGAACGTACGCGGGGTGGCTGAGCAATTGTCGCAGTTGAGCCGCCATATAAATTTCTCAGTACGAGTCGGTACGACCATCGGTAGGCCGGTCGACTGGGCTAACTGTGCACACACAGTTTCTTGCGTGGTCGCGCGGTGTTCATCGCCGACGCGGACGCTAAAGGATATTAAACGCCTTCCTTGTAGGCTGACCGATGATTGCACCGACGACAGTTACTATCTGGAAACTGCCGCCTCGTGCAAAATGGCAGGGGCACAGAACGACTATACAGTTAAACGTCGCCTAGCAACAAAGTTGCCTCTAGAGTGACGTTGAATGCCTACGACGCACCCCGTGTTCTCACGTCTTTGTTACCTACTTAAATGATAACGTTGATAATATTTATAAGCGAGAATTTTTATTAAAAAGCTTATCAGTATAATACAGCTCAGTATGAGTCCTTGAGATAACAAAGTTTCTCCGTCTAATGATTATTTGGCGCACATATCTGTATTATATTATCTGAATAAGATTTTTTTTTTATTACATATTTGGTGTAATTGAATCGATTTCACGGGTTATGTGCTTAACGTACACATACTACAAAATTATTTTTACATTTATTTTAATAAAGATTATTTAGATTTTAAAATGTTAATCAGCATTATTATTAAATCGACGAGCATTTAATTTAAATGTAAAATTATTATTTCAGTTCATGATTGTGTTTTAATCCGACGAACCGAATCGGTGCAGAATCCATAGAACTAATAACTGTATTTGTGTGAATATTACTTAGCACTATATTCATATTTACATGAATATCACTAAGCACCAAGACCCACTTTGAGCAAAAATAGCATTCTTCTCTCTTATTTGTGTTTAAATATTTTTTGGTTTATTTCACTTAAAATCACTTAAAATTATTTTTTTCTAATGGCATTGAATATTTCATAGTTGTGTTATTTATCTTGAAATAATACAAATAGTAGTAAGATTTATAAAGTGAGGATTTACTTGGCAACGCGCAATGGCTATGAGTATGTATATATTTGTGGCCAGTGTTATGTATTTCTGACGTCAGATATCATTTGCTAAATTTTTTTTATTGCCCTCGTACATAATTTGATTCTGTCACTGGAGTCAATGACGTCAGAAGAGAAACATAAGAAAGAATAATACTCTGACCTCTTCTGAATAAAAAAAAAATGCAGATATGTGTAGGTATATTTGGCTTTTGGCCGAAGATCCCTCTTCTGTCAGCCATTTAACTAGTGGTTTCCAACTGATTCGCTGAATAGTATTCGGTTATTCTATAATCACCTACGGCACCGCGAGAAATTTAGAAATTTAGAAGTTAGATTGATGTGAGTGTGTTTCGCGATAAGAGACGACGATTTGGGTTAGTGCTAAGTTGTTATTTATTTTATTGATTTTACAATTTCGTAATATTCGTAATATTTTTTGTTTTACTTAAATGTGATGTTTCTATAAAAAATAGACATTTGATTGCTGCACCACTGCATCGTGATTTGTGCGCACTAAACAATGAAACGTATACTAGTGTAATGCGTATTTACGTGTCAATTTTGAGTTTAACAAATATAACACTTAATTTTCCATAATATTAAATTTTATCTCACGATATTAGAAAATCTTTGAAAACTCGTAGAACTTGACTGTTTATTATTGCAATTTTTCTTAATAATTAATTAATGCAATAAAAAAATAAATTACCAGCCAATTTGTTATTGAAACTTGTTAAAAAAATAAATTTTAATATTTAACAATTTATATAATAATACCTTATAACATTTTTAATATTAATATATACATCAGTAAAAATAGCGTTTAAAATTGCGGCGCCTATGATGCTAATGCAATGTATGTATAAACTTTGTGCTAAATATATTCTCCCTATTGTAATGGAGGAGCACATAAAATAATAGAAATAGAATACAGTAACAAAATATAATGAATAAATAATATTATCATTTTCTTTTCATAATAACATATAATTTATAATTACATATAATAAGTATCTACTTATTGTTAAAAATCTAATTAAAATTTCTAATTAAAAAGTCTAATTAAAATTTGATTTATTTTTTGTAGTAAATATTAATTCATGTTGCATTAATATACTTTGATAACCTATTTATTTCGTCAATAATTTTATTAACATGAAATATATTGTTCGCCTTTTAGAGATATTTTTTCGTATACCATGGAAGAAGATGTTAACCCGGTCAAAAAATGCAATCATCAAAATTCTAGAAACAAAGAAAAGCCTGGTATAAGAAAATTTTTCAGGAACGGTAAAGAAATATAATGTTTAATAGAAAATATGACGAATGTTTTTATATTATATTTATCAAATAATAAACATTCTATCATTACAGTTTGGCGTAGAATAAAGATGAATGATGGAAGCAATCAAAGAGAATCAAATAATGATGACATTCACTTATACTGTATGTATATTTTTACTTATTCGCGAAGATACTAATTTTTTATTAATATTTTAAAAAATAGAAATTAAAATGCTTTTATTGATTTAACATCATTTAATAACGTAATGTTTTATCAACCGTTGGCATGTAGAACATATAAGATAATTTAATTAAGTAGTTCTCAATATTTTTATTTATAATTACATGAAATGCAAAACATCATATTTATTAATAAAATTATAAATATATTATAAACAATATTTTTTAAATGTTTAAAATTTCTAAATAGCATTGAACACATTGCTAGATGTCAGCACAAATCACTTTCTCGAACTACCTAATCAACAAATGGTAGACGAGATTGCAATATATGTGATAAAGATATTATTAATACGACAATAACTAACAATTTTTACAAATAATATCACTAGTAACAACTATAATAAGTAACTATATAAGTAACAATTATATATTAAATAAATAAATTGTTTCAATTGTTACAATTTATATAAAATACACTTAAAAAAGGGGACAGAATAATTCTTAATTAAAAAAAAGTAAAACATAAATTGTTGTATTAAAAATAATTATTTAATATTTACACTCTAATAGAGACGTAATGACATCAATTTCTTTTAGTGATGCTGAATATTTTTAATTTAATTTTATATATATATATATAAAATTACAACTTACCTTTAATTTAGCCATCACTTATTTTTTATTTACGTAATTATCTCTTTGTCTGTCTCTCTTTTTCTCTCTTCCCTCCCCCCCCTCTCTCTCTGATTCTCTTTATCTCCTTCTTTTCTTCTCTTACAAGACTATGCTCTTTGATGGAAATAATATTTCTAAAACAACATAACATTTAATTGTACGGTAACTTAGCAAAAATTTACGAACATTAGTTAGCACTAGTTGCATATTTATTCTAATTAAAATTAATAGAAATGTAAATACAAGAGAGGGTGTTAATGATAGTCTTTCAGGATCCATCTAGTTATGAAAACATAACAAAATTGTTCATATAAAGTAGGTATTAATTCTTATTAAATGTAAATTTGTTTTTGTAATGTCCTACAGGAATCGAAAAATGTGTAATATCAATTATG